GATGTTGCGGATGTCCATTGGCGACGGTAACCACCTTCCATCAAGTGGGCCGTCTGCTCGTTTGCGGCCTTTCACATAAAAAAAAATGTGAGTGTTATCTTCAAGGTTTTTTGATAATTTACTCTGAGAGAGGACAGTTTTTCAAAAAGGGAAAAAAAAAATTCCCCCAACCACAAACATAATTTTCATTTGGTCCAAAGACTTTTCAGTTTTCTTTGTATTCCATAATTTATACAAAAATTTATTAGTTATCATAAACAAAATATAAAATTATTTTCTTTATAATATTATATATCTCATAGCCTTGTATATGGAACTAAAGATTATTTTTGATATATAAAATATTCTGTGTTATGAATATTATAATAATGCCCAGATATAAATAAGTATTGATAAGAAAATCAAATAAATTACAATGTATTTGGGATATAAACAGGTAAGTGTTTACCTAATTTTGTGACAAAATATTGTTTTTTGTATAAGATAAAAATAAAATTCATTAAATGTACGTACTTGTGTTCGAGGCAAAATTTTTTATCTTGTTTATTCAACAGATGTATTGGAATATATAATTTTTTTCCTGCTAATGGAACAACATTTACAATTGATTTCGGTAAGAATGTTTCATTGTAATATGGTTAATAAACCTCCTCATATTTAAAATAAGTTTTCGTTTTCTAGATGTTTATTCATTTTTGTATCGTCTGTACTGTGTCCTAAAAATGACGCCAATGTTACGAATAATAAACTAATATTATAATATGATAAAAGTGATGCGCGAATTTTAGAAAACTAACTGTTTTAAATATTAAACTAAGAATATGTTTCATAAAATGTCAAACCCCTTACCCATGCAATAAAGATATTTCAAATACCCACGTCATCGATCCGTAACAAATTAACAATTCAAGCGTTTTGTGCTCTTCGCAATTTTTTGTAAAAGCTTAATAAAAGGGGAAAACATGAGTTTTAAATAGTATCAAACTTTATAAACAGTTTTAATCGAGATAGAAGGAATAATAAGATAGCGTGAATCTTTAACGGTAACACTTTTTGACATCGTTTTATAAATCAAAATACATGATAGCATACAACTATCTCTTCTCAACTACTAAAATATCTTAAAAATAAACATAAAAGACAGGTAACATTTTTTAATTGAATAACTGAAATTATTCACGGAATCTGAAATATTAATTACTAATAAATATATAAGGATATGTTTGTTACACACTATCCCAATACAATCTTCACAAATTATAATTGGTATAAGTTTTTAATACAGCGAAACCTCGTTGAAACCTGAGGGAACCAAGGATTTTGTATTATTTATAGAGGTTTTTCATTTATCCAGTTTTCCTATTAGACAGATTTAAAACAAAGTTCTCTCATTTATCGACGCTCTCATTTATACACTTACATATTTCGTTTCGTTTTTTGAAACCCTCTTAACATCTCTTATTACCATAAAAAAAAAATATCAATATGGAGTTTACGTGTAAATTTTTGCGCTTTCTCTTTAATTATTCACCTATTTGAATGTTATTAAACAGTATCTGCTTTATAAATGTCGAGAGACATTTTTCAAGTTCGGAATACTCAGGTGATCGTATTCACTGAGATACACTGATTAGATTCAATATACTGAGGCCGAATTTTCTCGTTGTTTTGAGTAACATAGAGTTGAGTTTGGTACCTTATACTCCGTATACAGTTTATTACATTCATTCATTACTTTACGTTCATTCATTACTTTCCACAATCATATTCTAATAAAAGCTTTAGTTTTTTAATCGCTGAAAATGTACTATATTTACGTTTTAACATTTTTAACAATTTAACTCCCTTATTTATGAATGAATTATAAGTTGTAAGTCATTCGGTGGTCTATTTTCTAGATTGAAGTGAGTGAGTGAAGATATGTTTGGAGAACGTTGATTTGCAAGCTTCGATTTAAAAAGCCCAAGGATACCTGATCTGCATGGGAAACCAATATATTTGCAAAAATTGGAGTTGTGCCCCTTTATCTGGAAGTAAATTACCGATCAAGTGATAAACTTGCCCTTGAACTTTAAAATTGGGAATAAAGTTTCCTTAACGAATTTCTCTGGCACTAAATGAAGTCATCTGAAATAATATATTAAATTTTCTTGAGTGATATAAGAAATACTTTGATGATATCAGTTCTTTTAAAACTGTAGTTGGTTCTGGAATAATAGGTATATTTACTTTTTCCGCCACTACAACACAGAATAGGAGCTTCAGTCACCCATTTTTTTGCATATTTTATACATTTCACCAATATCAATGTCATTTAGCTCAGTATAGTCAAGGATACAACCGTAAGCAAACGCAGCATTTAATAAATTAAGCCTTCCTCGATTAATGATCTATTCAATAAAAAAAGGTTTTTCAATTCGAACCAGGAGTTCCCGAGATTAAGCGTCCAAATAAAGAAACAAAAAATCTCTTCAGCTTTATAATATTAGTGCAGATGGTGTATTTTCTACCTTCTTCATCACTAAACACTACATTGCTACGTAACTATGTCAGCGTATAGAAAAATCCTTTGATATATTGGGTCGTTATTCGCGCAATCTCCTTCGTTGGGACTTGGATTGCTAATCGGGCCATTTGTCACGGTCACGCTTGTTATTCACTGCAAACGTACGATTCAAATTTCGCAAACAATTTCGAACGAGATCTGAGCGGTTTCTTGGTTGGTTGGGGTTATTACCGACTAATGCTAACACCGGCAAACTATTCGCTTTTATTATAGTAACCTAGATAAAGATCAAAGAATTATTATTCAATATTAAAAAGCTCAATTAGAAGGCGGATTAATACAAGAGTTGTAACTTGTTCCTATATATTAATAACGTATAATATATCTAAACAAAAATGTCATCATTATAATATTGTTGTTTAAAATTTAAGTGTTTGTTATAAATATTATAAAGCTGAAGAGTTTGTTTGTTTGTTTGAAAGCGTTAATCTCCGAAACTACTGGTTCGAATTGAATAATTCTTTTTGTGTTAGATAGTCCAGTTATCGAGGAAGGCTGTGGGGTATATAACATCACGCTATGACCAATAGGAGCAAAGATATAGTGGTAAATGTGTAAAAAACGGGAGAAATTATTTCATCTTTGAAGCCTTCCGTTGCGTGCGCCGTGAAAACGGTTCAAGGTACACAAAAAATATGTATTAAAGAATAATAGCTCTTGTAATAATATAAAAAACAGTCCGCGACAGTATACGTCTATCTTTTAAGATTAACTCACAAAAATCGTTTTTATGGTACCTAATTTGGTCGAAATAATTTTATAAAATCTTTATTCAAATAAACACATAAATATGTTGTTGGTTAAGAGTACTTCATTGTGAATTAAAAAGAACGTAGGTTTTATCCTGAAAACTCTACGGGAACTCGACCATTCCGAAAACCCCGCAAGAACGGGAACTATGTGGGAAGAACAAAAAATCTGCCGGAAGTCACTACTCCACGCGGACGGAGTCGCGGCAAAAGCTAGTTTGTTATATGTAGAGTAATTTAAAAAATATTTTTTTATGTATAATAATACAGATAACACTTTTTTCGTTTAGCTTTTTTCACAAACGCGCTTTTTCACACAAATTTGTGAACCGCGTAAGCTCTTACTTAACTTTAATTTACGACTTATGCTAATACTAGTGTACTATCGTGATGTCCTAATGTTTGCAATTTACCAACTATCTTTTTGTGTCTTCAGGATGTGAAATATATTTCATTCAGTTTGTTACGTTAAATTTCAGTTTCAAGAAGCTGGTCTTCTTTCTAAATCTTTAATATAATATGGATATTAGTGCTATAGGATACGAAATCGTTGACTCGCGGGCGCGGGCACGAAATATCAATAGCGGTCACATATGACGTGATTTCTAAGTTTTCACGTTCAAACGTCCAAGTAGCGAGCTAACTAGCGACTTGCGCATGCCGTGCGCTCGCGACAATTTCATACGCCTGAGACGTTTGGTTGTATTCATGTCAAACTAGCGGCAGCGCGCGCGATTCACTCGCGACGTCAGGTAAGTTCAACCATTTTGAACTTTTCACTAGAAACGATAGCACTTTTCTATCATGTCATTCAGTACAGATGATTTTATTGGTGCTGTTCAAATAAATAAACCTTGAAGGATGTTCCCTCAAATTACCCTATAAAGTATGAAATTCACCATACCGTTCTCTTTCTTTATTAATTTCGGGCATGCCCATTCTAATTTTTAGCATTTCCCACTTTAGGTTTGAATTTTCGGTTAAAAATTAAAGATCTCGCATGATCCATAATATTTACGACCTCTGACAATACGTCACACTCGCGCGAACGCCTGGCGGTTAACGTGAACGCGAGCTCGCAACGTTTCCCGCGCCCGCACCCGCACCTGCGCTCTCGTGTTCCAACGTGAACGAGCACTATCAGGTACTGTTTCCATTGACCGTATTGTTTGATCAAACTAAAAAATTATAAATATTAAATCCGAATTCGCTATAAGCGAACCAAAAAGATGGCTTATATTTTAAATTTCCTAAATTCTCTCGACAGATGAATTTTGTCATTATTGGTTTTCTAAATTTGGAATACAGTAGGCAATAGAGTTTGTATCATGCATAAAAATAAACAAGAGAAGTGTAACTAAATTATCTTAATTTCATACATATATGTATATGTATATAGACATTATATGGTTGGTAATTTAAAATGCGAAAGATTAAATTAATATTCCTGAAATTATCCTTGGTCATTTTGCTATTGTGTAACTTTGAACAACAGATAGGAACTCTCTTTAATATTATTATTGAAATTTGTAATCAACTATTAAGGTCAGTCTTTTAATATGAAACATTACTTTGACGTTAAAATAAATCATATTTTTTTCATTCCTACATGGATTTTTAGTTCCTCTTTTTAAGGCTAACACGATGATCTTTCAATGTATTTGAGTCTTAATTTAAATCAACAGGTCTAGGGCCATGGCCGAGCGTATGGGCGGAGTCTCTAGACGCAGTCAATTTGTCAGCGGTGTCAGGAGGAGACATAACACTGCCTTGCGACTCTCACTCTCCACCACCGCCTGATGCACTACTACTCGTCGTGTGGTATAAAAACAACATACCTATTTACAGGTAAGTTGTAGTCAGCTATTTAAATAAAACTAAATACACATTTTCGTGTATAAATGATAATTACAATGAATCTAAAAAATATATTTAAAGATGAAAGTAATTAACTATAAATATTTTAAAATATTGTATTTAGTTTTGAATGAAATTGCGCTAGTTTTGTTTACGACGATAGTATTATTATACATAGTCTAGCCATAAACATTGTTACAAATAAAACAGATATTTTTTTCTATTGCAAATAACATTTATTACTTTAACGGTATGTAAGTTTAATATATAAGTATAAAACAATTAAAAACGCAAAAAGCTTATTCGAAGTTGTCTCCATTAGCTGCAATACAGTCCTTTAAACGACGAGGACACTTATCAATAGAAGCACGCACTCTTTCCATGGGAAAATTTTCACTGTCAATCGTATGGATTGTTTTAGGGAGTCCAAATTATCATGGCGCTTCGAATAAACCCTACTCTCCAAAACTGACCATAAATCATACACTTGATTGATTTTTATTGATACACTTGTGCTGATGTTTTGATATATTTTTCACAAAAGTATGGCTCAGTTACTCTTCCATAGCTAACACCCCACCAAACCATCACTGAAGTCGGATAATGCCCCGATTAAATACGCGACGTGGTTCTAGATGCTAACTTCATCTCCCGAGATAAAATCTTTTGCTTTCAGACAGGATTTCTTCGCATTCTTTCTCTTACTGCTTTGACCACCTTTTTCGTACAGAGTAAGTCTCATTGTACCTATTAATAGCCTAGTACACAAACATTTAACTAATGATAAGCGTGTGGAGTTTTAAAAATTGCATTTGGCTCCATACCTACTTCGTGTAATGCAATCACAGCGATTCTGTTCTATTTATCACCCCACTCCATTTTAATATAACAAAATATTGAACAACTAGTTCTGCATGGGACTTTCCGCGTTAATTTCGGCATTAGTAATATGTATATAAAAGAAAGCCCACAAATGCGGTAATACCCAACAACTACAACAGAAATGTTATAAAAATTAAGAATTACGTTAATATGAATAGTTTGGCAGTATTTAACAAATTAACTACAGAAAGAAACTATTGTCTATAGATATAGTCTATCGTAACTCTTTTTTTTTACGAAAGGAATGCTTATTGGCTGTCGATCGTGCCTACATAAACTGGTAAAAGGTACATAGCGATAATGTCATTTTGGCTAGGAGTTGAATTCTCGAGTATGTAAATATGGTTTTTCGCTTATATGAGGAAAAGTCGAACATTTTCCGGGATGTAAAGTAGCCTATGTGTTATTCCTGGACGTCAGCTTTCCGTATACAACATTTTATCAAAATCGGCTTAGCCGTTTGAGCGTGAAGAAGTAACACACATACTCACATATAATACATTTTATCAAAATCGGTTTAGGCGTTTGAGCGTGAAGAAGTAACACACATACACACACACATCTTTATATATATCATTCTTCTGTGAGTGTGTATGTCACTGAACTTCTCTCAAAGGACTGGACTGATTTTGATGAAATTTTTTGTGTGGGTTCAAGGAGATCTGGGAATGTTTTAGATTCACAATTTTGTCCGCTGAACAATGTTTTTTTTAATTAATTTTTAATTTATTAGTAGTTGTTGGTACAAACGTTTTTTTTTGACATTAGATTTGACAACTAACTAACATGTCAATCATTCTGTCGCACTTCAAAACACGGAGTTTTTTGGCTTTAATAGGTAAACTCCAAAATAAAAATAAAAAAAACGAAACAGATTTTTCTTGATTATAGGGCGATACGAAGTAGGATGTATTGGCTCCAAAATAAGAAAACAATGAAAAATTATATAAAAATGACAAATTCTAAATACAAATGTAATATTTTGTTTATTTTTAATTGCAACAGTATTTATGACCAGAATGTGTATACATAGTTTAGCTTAAAGTATACCAATAATAACATTTTTTAACTTTCACAATACTTTCTTAATTATATGAAACAATTATTTGACTTTTTCTGTTTTCTGTGATAACTTCTGATGTAGGTGTGTATTTTTGGATAAATATAGATTTTTTTCATATATTTATTCATTACTAAATATATTTCATTTTTAAATTATTTGTTTTTATATAAAATACAACGTTTTTTGCCTGATATAGTTTCCTATTTGAAACATTTTCTACTCCCGTGTGTTACTGAGAACCCGTCGGTATATTATTTAATACTAAAACCTTAAAACCAGATTTAATGAAACACGTTATTTCCAAAAAAATATTCCGTACAGTTAACGGGGTTGTATAAATATTTATACGTATAATACATTACACACAAAGAGACGTACATATGTACTAAAAAATCAAATTTGATGTAAAAAATTAGTTAAGGATTTTTTTTTGCACAATAGATGTATTAAATTATTGTTTTGATAACCTCTAAATAATTATATACATTTTTTTTTCAAATTGTTGTAATACATTTATTTCGTGATTTTTGACAATGTCATTTTATTTAAATGCGTACAAGTTATGTTCATTGAAATGAATATGGCAATAAACAGAATTTAATTACTAAATTCAAAGTATCACAAGCTTCTGTATTATCGAGGTCAATTACTTATTTACCAATTTAACAAAACAACAAATATATACTCACTGTATAAATTCATGAGAATGTAAAAAACTATGACAATTTAATTCGTACTACCTTGCCCTAATTAGGCTTAATAAAATGTCATATTTATACAGCGATAATTATATTGCGACCCCGATGCCCAGATAACTTTCCACCGGACTCTTATCATTTGATTTCTTTACTATTATATTTATATATCCATTGGGTATTTTGAATCGTTTTCGTTTCCTATTAATAATATGTCCTACAATTATTAATTTCAAACATAAGTTTTACTTAGTGAAAAAGCCGATAATTTCAATTTAAAGGAATTATTAGAAAAAAAAATACCGAAAATACAACGTAATCAAACTTAAATGTAAAAAAAAAACATATTTAAAACAGTTTCTCTAAGTTTCTCTATCAAAGTAAGTGAATTTAAATGAAACTAATATTTTTCGGATATACTACGCGACTTTATTTTTGATATAAAAATAGATATCTCGTCTGCCTGTCATCACGTTTGCTGAAAAGTGGCCAAAAAGTCGGGAGTATGTAGTTTTTATTAAAACTAAAGTCGAGTTGTTTAATCCGAAACATATTAGTTTCATTTAAATGAATAAAACTCACGGAACTCTTCGATCTCATTAAATTAAGTGAATATTGTAATCATAATTTTTTCGAAACTATCAACAAAAAACAATTGAATAATTATACATATTTGTTTGTGTAAAAAATATTTTGGTCCGATACTTTTATCTTGATACTTTTATAAATTTTAAGAACATTTTTTTATTATAACTGAGTATTTTAGATGGTTAATTAAATATAAGTTATAGTATTAAGTCAATAATTTTTAACGACACTTGTCTTTATTAAAATACTATTAATAACTTATGAGGAAGTATGACCATTTTTTGTTATTAACAAATTTTTAAGGCAGAAAATAATATGGCGAAGAAATTAAATATTATGCTCTATAATGATTTCTCTGTATTTACCTACTGTATTAGCTACGTTTCAATGACGGATTATGACGAATTTACGTTATACTAGGAATTTCTCTTTGTCGAATTTGATTGATGATACATTGGTAAATAGCTAGTTATTATAAGTACATAAAGTCTTGTAGGTAGGTTTATCACATGGCCATTACTCATAGCCACGTACTGTATATTTTATATAGTTGATTTTACTGTCTTCAAAAACAAGAATTTCAGAATTCTACTATATTTTTTTTATAATTTGGCAATAACATAACGCTATTCTCATACAATGCCAAATATTTTTCCTTTTCGAGTTCTTGTCAAACTGACCTGATATATATTTCCTTGAGGTTGGATAAAGGAGTTAAGTAAAACAAAATCTCCCCACAAACATATACCAGAGATAGCCCAAGAGCCCTCGACGGCCAGACCTTCGTTATATTATAAGTTGAAAGTTTCTATGTACTTGTCTCCTATACAGGTAAGAACTACCGGCGACTATAGAGTTTGGGTTGTAGTAACGTAAGCTGTTAGCAAGTAGTAAAGGTGTATCAAATAGTACTTAAAATTTGTTAAAGTATGAAGTTCAATTTGTTTTATATTTACTACAGGATAAGTTGAGAAATCACGACACCCATTGCCAGCCACTTATATTAATGTCTTGTTAAGACCCAGTTTCACCAAACTCTGTTTGATAAATCTAAACAATTCATTTACTTAAGAACCTTCAAAATTATAATTGTCTGCTAAAATTGTTACGTTCCAGGAACAAAAATTAACAACGCCTTATTAAATTTCATGTTAAATGATCGACTACCAAATTATTCGTTCTTGTTACGAGTATAAGGCAACCAAATGGAAACGATAGTGTTTAATAGGACACGTTTGCCACGATGCACCACATTTACTTTGATCGTATATATCCCTCGATATTCGTTAGCTAATATGGCCAAATTGTATACATCGATTGACTTTTATTCTTCCTTTGTTCGACCGGGTCTAGAATATTGTGCTCAGGTTTGGTCTCCACAATATGAAGTCCACATCAAACGTATTGAGAGGGCTCAAAAGCATTTCCTGTTGCATATTGCATATCAATACAATAAGGCAAAACAGTTACCGACATATCATAGTCGGTTAGAATACTTTGAGCTAAATAGCTTGCTCAATCGGAGACATTTATTGGACCAGATTTTGCTTCACAAAATCGTTAATGGCAAGTTAGACTGTCCTAACCTCGTAAAAAAAAAAAAATTTAATGCGCCGTCAAGGTTTCCCCGTGCAAGTAAATACGTTCCTTTTTCGATTCCACGCTCAAAAACAAATTTAGGACAGAATGCTATCATGAGTAGGCTACCTAGACAGTATAACCTACTCATAAAAAAATCAAGAAATTGACATCGACATTTTCTCAGACAGTCTGCCAAAATTTAAAAGCAAAGTTATAGCTAGTTTTAAATCGCCCAGTATAAATTAATTGTAAGTTGAAAATAATAAAATAACGATCACATTCCAGTCTTTCAACATCGATCACGTTTATATTGAGTCGTTTAGGTTCTGTATTACAGTTGTTTGTTTGTTATTTTTGCTATAAAATTTTTGTTTCAAAAAATTTCATTTTATTCATTTTTATTTTTTAATTGCTTAGTAATAAGTTGGTAATTTGTTATTGTCTTTTGTAATTTACATTTTATATTATATTGGTAGTATTTTTTGTTTCCCGTTTTTATATAATTTTAATTTAGTATAATTTTAATTTCCCCTTTTGTATAATTTAAGGAGAAAAAAAAAATTGTGTTACATTAATAGAAAATACTGTCCTTTTGCATGCCGTGATAACTTTTAACTGAAACAGCACTTAGCTAGAAATTTAATTATCTTTATTTTAAAACTTATAAATGGTGTATGTTTTGTAAGTTGTCCTTATATAAATAAATAAATCGTTGGTTGCATTCATTTGGCAAACCAAAAGCTTTCTGTGGTGCTACATAGGTATATTGTATTTCAAAATATTAAAAAATGGGCATGAATTGAAAATCTTATCACTGCTTCAGCACCAAACAATGTCACCTGGAAACAACTTTTATATTTCTGAATGTTGGCCAGGAAATACTAAGAATCATTATCAATGCCAGAAATTAAAGATTGTAAAGGATCTGTTGGTGGGACATGAGCACAATACTGACATTTCTCCAATTGATGCTAATACGTCAGTACAATACTCTAATGCTGATTAATAATTGAATGCATTTTGTTCCAGAATCACAGGAGCACAGCATTTGTTGAATCGATCAATTTCACTATTTCGTATTCGCTGTTGTTGTGTTCGATTTGCATGAACTTGTTGCATTCTAAGCTTATAAACGTCATTCTCACTCAGTAAAGAACACAGTTCATAGCAATACCACTAGTTCTTTACCGCCCCGGGCCCTTCAGGTCTGAACTTAAAGGGTAGGTCGCATCAGGCCACCCCTGCCGATGACGCTGTCGAAACCATTAGGGCTAACACGTAAAGTGAAGTCGAACTAAAAAAATATTTTTTTTAACTGTCTCCCTCCCGTGGTCAATTCGATTAGCACGTAAGTCATCTCTTCGCACATTTCGTTAAAAATGCACTATTGGTCAGATATCAACCGACAATCGACATAAAGGTATATCGTCAAAAATTATTGTTCCGTCCAGAAATTTAAGATTTATCAATCAATGTAAAAATTATACATACATAGTTATTTATTATATGGTTATTCTAACAACTGTAGCTAGCAAAAATAAAGTGTATTTTTTACCCAATGAGAATAAATATGTAGTTCAAATGATATAAAAATTCTAATTAGTTATTAATTTTAAACTATTTTATCAAGCTGATTTCTAAACGCCATAACGGGAGATGCAAAACGATATATTTTTTTTTATTTCTTATCATTTTCAAATTATTTCTCTCTTTAGACCTTTCGTGGTAGTCCACGAATATTTCTACTGAATATTTTTTTTTAATCTGATGTTATGATTACTTTTTCGTACACGTGGAATGGAATGAAGAAAATATCCCAAGCTATTTCGTTTCGTATGAAATGTGTATGACCTATACTCCAGCCAAGTAGGTACCTTTAAATAGATCATGAACAATTTACGTAGATAATGATGCTGGCCTGTAAAACAATAGCAGTTTACTTAAAAAGATTATGTTACCAATCTCTACTTAGTGCTTTTTTTTTAAATAATTTAAATATGCAATATCATAACAAAGTTAACGATTTATTATCCTCTTCACTAACTTTTCTATCTTACAGAGGCAATATTTAAGAAAATATTATTGATTTCAGCTTTATTATCGATCACAGTTGCCTTTATCGATATTACTTAATCTTAGATATAATTTCATGTGCAACAGTTTTTCTAATTTAAAACAAACAATATTTATTGTTCAAGGGACATTGAACATAATTTATATTGTTTGTTTTAAACTAGGAAAACGTTTTTAATGAATCCTGAGTCTCTTTGTCCATTGAGATATCTAACAAGGCTTTTATTTCAATTCGAATTTATCTAGACTGTATTAAGTTTCATTCAAAGGAAACATATTTCCTTGCAATTTCTATTTCCTTTTGATGTTTTGTCAGTTTAAACAACTTGTCATTGAGTAAAAAAATATACATTGAAAGATAATGTATTCATTTACATAATTTTTCATTACAAAGATTAAGTTTCAATGGACAAAACTCATAATTATGCCATGACTCTGCCTGATAATAATTAAAAAAATCCATTTCTTTTAGAACATCCATTTATATCTTTTTGTTACGGCAGCTACGATGGGCGCGTAAAAGGGCCCTCTGCACTCTGGGCGGATGCAACGCTGGTGGGCCGTGCTGAATGGCACCTTTCTCCAGAATCTGTGCTCCACATCCGAAATGTCGTTCCAACAGATCGGGCCCTTTATCGCTGCAGAGTTGACTTTAAAGTATCTCCAACAAGAAACTACAAGTACATGCTACAGGTGATCGGTAAGAACTTCGATTTATGTAGTTTTAACTCAAAGTTAATAAAGTAAACTCAACGAAATTGAGTGTCAACATAGCTAGGGTTCAGGATACAGGTAGAATTATAAATTTGCACGATAGCTGTGAATATAATGAAACCTTACACTATGTCTCTTAATATGTTTTAGGACATTAAAATGATGTAACAAAGTAATTATCTCATTGCTAATATTCTCGGTTCCCTCGGTTCTCGGTTATGTTATGCTCAACTTGAAAAATAACCTTTTAGTTTAAAAAAGAATCAATCATTCGTTGAAGATCTGATGACTAAAGGGAGATTTTCTTCTAGACTCACGAATCACTGTTCCATTAGTTTTTTGTCAAAGTTCTTTATTTAATTCGTGCCAAAGGAACCCATTTCACCATATATCTATACATAGGTACAAATAAGATAAACTGTTCATTAGTTGTTATAGAGTATATTAACTCGTATGTCTTATTTATTAAAACATATTTAAATCTTATTATTATTTAATTAACCTTTAAGAAATTCAAAGTGACATCACTTTATTATTTAATCCAGTAACAGCTTTAACACATGAATATAAATCTAACGAGTTGCATTTCATATCCTCATTTGAATATTGTCTTCCTGGAGCTAACTTGTATCTTAGAAACATTAAAAAGATTTATAAAATATAGTTAGTATTTCTGTTATTATGTATTTGTTATTAAAAATTAACATTTTTAGAATCACTATAATTTTATTTTCACAAATCTCGTTCACAAAATATGCTGAGCAAAATAAAAATACAAACTTTTCTGTTTATCAGCATTCTGATTGGGGTTACTATCATTTATTTTATAAATCCCACACGTAGACAGTAGTCAAGTGTTTATACGCCATCAGCAATAAAAAGGGATAGACAGTAAAATGTTCTATTATTGTTGGAGATAAAAGGAAGCTTAATGGGTTTTTTATTACCCAAGAGAAATTTAAATTGTTAGTTTTGTATAAAATATTGGGGTAATTTATGTATATAACAGTAAATACTCAAAAACGCTTATGGTATCGTATTCTAGTAAGAAGTACCTATGTATTTTTTTCAGATCTATTCTAGTCAAATAAATTATGTACTCTTAAAATCACTTTTTTAATGACTGTATAAATGTCATCGGATTTTACTGTCAAAAATATTAACATTTTATATTGCAACGTTAATCCATTTAAATTGATTAAATTTATGCATCAATTGACGGTGAAGGAAAACATTGTGAGGGAACCTGGACTTATAATTTTACAATTATAAGTCTGAAATCGCCAATCAGTCTTGAGGAAGCGTGGTGATTAATGCTCAAACCTTCTCCATGGAAACTCTTTCTCAGGAGCCTTTGCTCAGGAGTGGGCTCTGATAGGCTCATGTCGACGATACATCAATTTCATTCATTCGGATTAATTCCATAGTTAACTTTCGATATAAAATTTTTATTTCACTAATCGAGTCTCAAAAATCAACCATTGAATTCATAAGTATTATACCTAATTTTGTAGTGTAGTAAATATAATTATGAAGTTACTTATTGTAAATATTAATTAAATCGTTCGTTATACATATATATCATTAAATAGATTCGGCACCTTAATTTACTGTTCAAATATTATTATATTTGTCTGTGAATGTTCAAAAATTTTAACAATATGGTTATCAATTAATTGACACCCTACAAGGATATCCGGAGCAATTTTAATACATTTACAAAATAATGCGATTACTTAAAATCACTTGAAAATATTATATGGGAATATAGGAACGAAGCCAAACGATAGCGGTTTATAGATCTTGATGATGAGATTACATCACAGAAAGTCCATTTCTATAGTTAACGTTTCAAATTATCACATAAGTTTTATTATCGCATATAACAAAACTAGCGGGAGAGATATTTTCGAAGAAATATAACTTTTTTTTACCTAATACTAGCTTTATTCTCGGGCTTGCTTCTTACTTAAAATTTTTGGAAGAGAAATAGGCGGAGGTATTTTTAGTTAAATATTAAATTTTGTACAAATTGATTCCATAGGTATTGGGAATCTTGAAATAACTGCGACATACTTTTCTTAAGATATTTTGAAGACTTTCTATTCATTAGCTTGGTACTTTCCAATGAAATGTTTTGATTGAACATTGCGACCACAAAATCTACTCTAACTCCTAGTACATTTTAATCCCTCTATTCACTGATCTAAATCGATACTTGTGTGTTAACATATGCAGCAATATGAATGCTTCGATTAATTTGTTATTGGAATTATCTAATATATTCCTTTTTTTATGTGAAAGGTGGTAAACGAGCAGACGGCCCACTTGGTGGAAGGTGGTTACCGTCGCCCATGGACATCCGCAATATCATTGTTGCGGATGCGTTGCCAACCTCGTTTTTTAGGGATAGGGAGGGGTGGGAATAAGCAAATAGCAGGAAAAGCAGCCATTTAAGGCTACTTCACGCCGATCTTCTGTGAGAGAGTGGTACTTCCCCGGTCGAGCCAGCCCATGTTCGAGCTGTAGTAACTGACCACAGCTAGGCTCTACCACCTAAAAAATCCTAGCTAATTAAAACAGCAATATAAATTGATCTTAACTAGTTGTCTTGTATCGTTTTTAACATAAACAAACAAATTTAATTTACCACTTAAGATAAACATACATATATACTTACGTACATATCATGTAACTTTAATACATATATTAATGTAATTGTTGTTTTGCAAATTTGTTGTAAATGTGTCGTTACTCGGTTTTAACTAAAAGCCACAATCGTATATCACATGAATAGAATATAATTTGTTCTAGCACCTTTAGAGGTTTAAAATATTTAACAATGTTAAGCTTTTGTTTATTAAACAGTTTTCATGATATTTATTGTATACTATGTAGTAAACTCGGCGAACTCCGTTTCGCCACCAAAAGGCTTTTATATAACATTTCATTTGGTGATTAAAAGATGAAGAATTTTTTTTGTTTTATATTTGAAAAGGAACATTTTTATTTCATTTCACAACAGTAATGAATTCATTTCGATTACAAAAATGAAGTGTTATTTAGTTGAACTTCTCTAAGTAAATGAAAGTGAATCCAAAGTAGATACCGAATCGAAGCGTTATACGTGTCCGCAAATTATCCGTTTCATTGAAGTGCTAATTTATAAACCACATTTTTTATTTTTTGGTCTAACTTTAACACAAATAAAGCGGATGGTTTCCAAACTCGTGAACACGCAAAATATAATGCCCATGTGAAAAACAATGATTTTCTAAATTTATCCCGCAAATACTAATTGGTTTTAAGAGTTCAAACTACAAACACAATACCGGTTTCTGACATGAAATTAACTGAGCAGAGAACAATTTTATTCTATTTCCATTCTTGTATTTCAAATCTATGGTAAAACGAAAACATTTTGAAACATAATTTATAATTTCCCAAGTGAAAATGCTATCTCAAAAATCACAATAACGATGATGAGATTGCTTTGGCTCGAAAGTAATTTATGTCGGAGACGACTCTGGTAGGCTTTTATTTTAGCGATCTACGGTCTGGGAAAAAAGTTTAATGTAGGGTAACTCAATTATGGAGTCCCCACCTTATGTGTTCCTAATTTATCACCGAAGATCTTCTATTAAGAAAATCAGTATTTTATATTTATTAAAGTACACCGACTATTATATATTGTTAGAAATAAATTAGGCAGTACTTCCACTTAGATCCTCAGTCTAACTCTTGTATCCTATTTATAATTTTCAATGGTATAATATTTAGGTGAGGTTAGGTTATAATATAAGGCGCTAGTTCCTCTCATGAGAGTTTTCATTAAATAATAAACTCTTAACTGTATGTAAAACATGTTAAGGCTCTAATTATAAATTGTAAAACTAAATTTTTAAACGTAAAATCGTACTCTTTTGAGATTTTGCATTCAAAACAGGAATTTTTTTCTTCTTTTTACTGTCTCCAAGTCAATATTTTTCCCTTACACAAAGATGCATGAAAAGTATACCTAAAAATTTGTGAGCAAAATCTGTTAATATATTTATAAAATAATATATTTCGAAATATGTGTAATTTATATTTGACATATGAAAAGAGTATGAGAGAATACGATATGTTTTATTCTATTGAAACGATGTATTTTCAGCTTACTGGAAAAAATAATCGGTTCTAGGCCAAGAAAGAATCATCTTCTTTTAATTTCTATAGTTGATAGTGGATATATAAATGTGCCATGACCTCACTTCACATTTTGAATTTGAAGCTCTAAGTAGAGCAGAAGAAGGTCAGATGTTTGTTGATTTTCAATGTCTTATTACAGTTTTGCAATTCATCACTTAGGCTATAAGGCATAAGTTGACCACAGAAATGTAAACAAATGAGTTAAACCTTAAAATATTTTTGGACTTGAAAAAATACAAACACATATTTTTAACGAAATAATTTTAGTGCAAAAATAATTTTTTTGCAGAACTTCCAGAAAAACCAAAAATTTTTGATGAAAAGGGTAAAGAAGTTATAGGAACGGCTGGACCATACGTAGAAGATTCAAGTCTCAAGCTTACCTGTGTTGTAAGTGGAGGTAAACTAGATTACAGTTAGATTTTGTGATGCCATACTTAACAAGTTATCCCTTATTCTGTGTATGGAGCTATTTTAATAATTTTATTATTAATGGAAAGATAATTCTTTTAACATTTTAAAGTGGTTATATATCGAAATTTATTTTTTTACTGATTTATTTTATGACTTTAAAATTTAAATTAATAAAGTCACGACGAAAACGGTAACATGTCACAATATATAAATGGTATTTGGTCTGTATTACTTACCTAATTTGAAATAATGAATTCATCGTATATTTAATGGTTTTAGCAAGCGTTATATAAAATTTTGCAATAAAATGATAAGAATAGTTGCAGTCATATTATAAGTTTAACTCTGCAGAATCATGCAATAGTATGAAAAGCTAAGCAAGACTTTTTTAAATTTTAAACTTGTAGTTAGACTATCCCTTTATTTATTTTTTGTGCGCACTGGGAAAAATGCTTTACGCATCCCCTCCTCGTTAGGGGACGGGACTCCCCAAGAAAGGATTCCCGGTATACCCACTACAAGAACCCAGTAGCGCTCCGACCTCGCCGGACTGGCAGGGGGCTGGGAATCCGGTTGCATCCAGCCCCCCGCTGGCGATTGCCCGCCTTGTGGCAGACCCCTCACGCCCCCCCTTGTGGGGGAGGGATAGTTAGACTATCCCTAAACAACAAACTGCTTTAATATTTTCAATAAAAATAAAACTTACAATATTCTATATTGTACCTTTATATAGATTACTTATTTGTGAACCAAATTAATGCACTGGAAATTTTTAACTAGTGAGAGGTTATAAAATTTAATGTTATAATATGTCTATAGGTAAACCGATGCCACGCATAAGATGGTGGAAAGAGGAAAAAATTATGGCTCAACTGGATCCAGTCGAGGATGAAACACGGCTCAGTGTCCTGGAACTAAGGATTCACTCTTTAAAGAGGGACCATTTCGAAACAGTTTACAGTTGTACAGCAGAAAATACCGCGATTGTGCCGCCTTTACGAGTAAACGTGCAAATACAATTGTACTGTAAGTCGTATTTTGTTTATATGTACATATTTAAAACATATTATGTGAAATATATGAGTAAAAATTAAATCTTATTTAAGTTTAGTATACATATACCTACTCGTATGAGTACAGAAATGCATCAGCAATGAAATAATTGATGTAAAAAAATATTTTAAAAGTAATCATCCCTATTATATCACCCCCAACATCCATATAAAACATGAACCATTCCTAGTTTTTTCTCTGACTGAAAAGAAAACATCGGTGTTACTTAAAAATAGAATATTGAGTATAGAAAAAGAAATTTTTCATAGAGATATTTGCTCCCCTGGGTCGGCCATTGTGGGTTGGTGTAAAGTATGGAGTTCTAAAAGTGACAGTGGAGTATCATTAACTATACGCTACAGTTCACACGAGATATAAAAAGTATAACAATCATGAAAACAAACAGATAATGTTGTAAAAATGCTTAATATAACGTTGATTGTTAAAATAAAAATATAAAATAATTCCTTTGTGTATATGTATAGAAGATTATATTTTTTATATACAGTACATATAACTAACAATAATTTATTTGTCACTAATATTAATTGAACTTACGTGGCTACAAATATAAGACTTAAATTAATTGAAGAGCAAAACAATGATTCATAAAAAGTATTCCATTGTACTTTCATAAACACTTACTTATCTTTAGATACCTAATCAATGATGATGAGTTAAATTTTGATATTATAATTCACGCATCCTCTATCTTACTGTGGATTAAAATGGTCTGACATTTTCTTAATAAATTTGCTTGTGTCATAACATCTCATCTCACGTCATAAGAACGAAATGAGTGCGAGTAAATTTGATAGTTAGTTTCATTTATTTATGTTAAGTACTGACTGTATGTATGTATAAAGAGTATCTCTTTTACATGTTTATATTTTAAACTCAAATATATGTATTAAAATATTGCAGTTGCTTGAAATATAAGTTTATTAGATTTACCGTATCATAAAAATAAATGTCAGCTAAATTGTTTATTTAAAGAAGAAAATCTAAAAATGTTAAAAATTCCTTAACTATAGAATAACAATATAATGAAATACAGGACACATTCAAGGTAAAATTACATTTGCTAGTTACATAGCGCACAAAAAGCAATGCAATTTCCAAAATATTTGTCCCGTGGAATTGCATTCTCACACGTGACTGCAATCTTACTTAGCTGCATCAAATTTTTTGGTATTATTTAAACAGTCCTAATAATGATACAAATATTGTATGGAAAATTGTCAATTGGTAAATATTTGGTACGATTTATTGTCACTTATACAACTACTATTATCATGTACTCATAGTAGATGACCCGATTGAAATTTTTAACTATGTATTAAAACTGTGTTTTATTATTATTTTTACATTATGCTTTATATTCTATTATTAATAAAGTAAATATGCTTAGTCAGTAGTGGCCTAGAGGTTAAAAGGCCCGCCTTCCATGCATGAGGGCACTTGTAACCGGGATGTTACCAGGATGTTATCAATGTAAGCATTGGTACAAGGGCTAAGGAACACATTTCAGACGTCAGGAATAGGCGTCCGTTAAAGTCAGCAGAGTGTAAACATACATTGGACAAACTAGGCAACATTAGATTTGATAAACCACATATCCTCGTTCGTGAAGACAGATATATACCAAAGTTAATCCGCGAGGCTATTGAAATTAAAAAACACCCCAATTTCAATAGAGAAGATGGATGGAGTCAGTGGTAACCTAGTATCTAATATGCCCGCCTCTCCTGCATGAGGGCGCGGGTTCGATCTTGGCAAGTACCAATGTGATTTTTCCAAGTCATATGTACTTTCTAAGAATATTTAGACATCACTGATTAATGCATTCCCAAAGAGGGTTGATGTCAGTAAAAACAATTAGACAATTCTATTCATAACATGTAAGGCAGACCCTAGCTAAAGCTGGAAAATTGCCAGGTAGAAGAAAAACAATAAAGTATAGATGTAAAATTGTGTTTAATAGTATTTCCTTAATATCAGTCATAAAAACGGTCACAATTATTCTACGTATATTAAAGAGCATTCAAATTCACTGTAGTACCATAGGTATGCTATCAGCTTATAGATTAGTTTGTATCCTTTCCTTGTGTGAGGTGGTAGAGTCCAGCTGTGGTCATTTTACTACAGCTCGAACATGGGTTAGCTCGAACGGGGAAGTACCACCCTCTCGAAATAATTCTTGTGAAGTAGTCTTTAATGGCTGCGTTTCGTACGGTGAGTGGGAGAGCCAGTACCTTAGCCAAGCCAGTAGCCTTTATCTTTTCCCACCGTTTCCTGCCCTCTCCTTTCCCTCCCTTTTCCAGTGTTTTCCTCCCCCTTTTTTCCAATCAAAGACGGCAACACATCCGCAAATCCACGTTTCGGATGTGGATGGGTGACGTTACGATCTACATTAGGTAGGCCGTCTGCTCGGTTGATCTCTTTTACCATAAAAAAAAAGATAAGTTTTTATTTGTAGTCCTTAACACAATCATTTCGCATTAAAGGGAAGTTATACTCTATTATCGTTATGCCAACCGTAATATAATCTATTAGTAATATAAATTATATAGAATTGCGATATGTATGTATTATATTTATTAATTTTCATTTTCAACGAGTTGCCCTGTTGGTTTTGTGTTAACATAATTAGGTGCTGGGTTTTGCATTTTATTTTAATAAATCTTTTATAATAACAGAAAAGAAAAGCTTATACTATACATCTCTGAAACTATAACGAGATTTACAAATTACGTTGTTATATTAAAAAAACAATTTTGAGTGAAGCATTGTTAATAAAACCGTAATTGACGTTTGTTCATTTTTAAATTAGTTGACGTTTAAGTAATTCAAAATATTCACGTTTCATACCATGTATTATTGCTTTTGTGTAGCGTGATATGTCATAAAATATAACAACATATAAAAGAACAAATGCACGTAAATTAAAGATATTTGTTTATTTTTTCCTCTAACAACGGAATGAAGTCATGAACGAAATTTTTTTTACAGTGAGGCCATTATTTGTTGAAATCTTGGAGAGAGAGCAGCCATTGTCTGTGGGCCAAGAAACGGATATCGCTTGTAAAGCTGTTGGTGCTAGACCACCTGCAACCATAACTTGGTGGCTTGGTGATAAAAACATGGTCGTGAATACACCACAGACGGTATTTTCTTCGTTAAAAAATTGTTATTTTGAATTTTTATGTTCAATATTTAATTAAGCTTTTTCATTATTTAAAGGTTTAATTATACATATGTTTTCAATTAGTTGAGTCAAATTTATTTACTTTCTTAGTATTATATTTCTTGTTTAAGATAGGTTGAATAAGGACTGACGTATGTCACTATTAATTATTTTTTCCCACAACTTCCCACTTTACTTCTGATCAACTAAAATATTCAACAAATAAATAAATAATTTTATAACAGTTTGGCAAACGTTTTGTTGTTTTAGAACTCAGAAGACCGTAATGAGACGATATCGTTCCTACGTTGGACTCCGCGAATGGAACACGATGGCCAAGTACTCACCTGCAGGGCATCCCATCCAATACTAGAACACGCTACTTTGGAAACTACTATAACACTTGATCTGCACTGTAATTCTTTTTTAAACAGTAGAAATCGCAAAAATCATTATCATTATCAATATCCTTAACACCAAAAGTGTTAAAAGTTAGAAGGGCTTTTGTAAATACATATGTACATAAAAAAATTACAGGAATATGACGTAAATTCTTATGAAACGTATATACAAAGGTATCTAACAACTTTCAACATATACACTTGTTCTTGCCAAATATTACGTTCTTATATGTATTTTAAGAATTATTTTATTTTTTTAACTTAAAAGCATTGATTTATTTATTAATTTTGAAAAGCGTTACGTAACACGTTTTCGAATGATATATTTTTATTATTATTTGAATTGAAAATGTTGATGCTCAAAAGCGCATGAAGTACGGTCATAAGAAATATCTTTATAAAATGTCGATTTTGTTGATTCAATATCTATGTCAAATATATGTACAAACAGAAAATGTACAAATGTACCACAACACGTACCAACTTCTCTGCTTTAATTTTAGGATGACAATAATATACTGAATATATTTGCAATAATAAATTTATTATTTATTATTATTATTACAATTATTCATAAATAATATAATTATTATTTAATAAATATATTATTTATGGAACTTAAGCCATAAAATCCATGAACGCTCCGAAGATAATTTAGTTAAAGAGCTGTTACCTTCTTTTTCTACAATATCAATTAAGATAATCATGATTTAATATATTAATTATTTTTTTGTTATAATTTACGAAATATAATATTATAGAATTTGTTGTTATCGACTTTTTATTTCTGAATATAAATTTAGTAGGTATTATTACCTAAGGGTAAACACAAATATGGCTTTATTAAAGATTACTTAAGGTTTCGAATATTAAATTAAATAGCTTGTTTTGTTAGTGGAAATTAATAAATGTTATTTAAGCGGTAAATCTCCTTTCTTAGTTCAACAAAGTGATCCTCTATTAATTTCCAGATGTTCCCATAGTCCAACTACAGTTAGGTTCCAAATTGAACCCTAATGATATTGAAGAGGGCGATGATGTTTACTTCGAATGCATCGTGCGAGCAAATCCACCATCTTACAAAGTTGTTTGGGAGCACAATGTAAGTGAAATAACTTAAAACACTCATCAACTCGGCTTGTTTTATAGAAGAGTGATTTAGAAAACGGAGTTGCAATTATCTGTGTAGTTGAAATAAAAAGACTTGAGAATTTATTTTTTTTTTTCAAATGAGATTGTTTTTTGGGAACATAGAAAATTACAAAAAAGAATAAAACGATAGCACATACTTTTATTAAAAGCTATTTCTAACCTAAAAAAACAACTGTGCTATTTTTATATTACATATATGTAGCTCTGCAGATATTAAAAATACTCCTTTTGCTATGTTAGATTGTAAACATGGCATTTATTATTCCATCTTAATAATTTTTTTTAAATTATATTCTAACAGAATTTATAAACTTTTATACGTAGAAAAAAGTAAAACGTTTATAATTTTACTAGACTGCTACAATGAAATAAAGTGTTTTTACATAACTGATTAAATTATGAAGAATTTAATCTTCCGTATCAATAAACTACAAAAGTTACTAATGTTGTAAGAATTGACAGGGTCAGGTAATGACACACAACCAACGTGCTGGAGTAATAGCTGGGACGGCGCACCTCGCTCTACAGGGAGTGTCGCGGGATCAAGCCGGACAGTATGTCTGCGTAGCTAGCAACGTGGAAGGGGATGGACGATCACTTCCTGTGTTTCTTCAAGTTATTTGTAAGTATTGATTTAGAATTATCAGCGCAATAAAATTAATATATACTAACTGTGCTTAAAATTTTATGTGCATGGTATTTATTCTCTGTTCATATCTACTCATACTGAAGAACATGTTTAGCCTCAGCTGAACTTCACTATCGGAAGCAAAATTTACAAATTTCTATGACCAATAAAACTAAGATTTTCAATAAAATACACGAAAATTAAATATATTGAATGGAAAATTATTACATTGAATTGCATATAGGTACCAAATGTAGAATTTTCAGGAACTGGAAAAATATCTAACAGTAAAATTGCTTATCAGGATTTTCTAAATTTATATAATTCATGAACCAGTTGATATAAAACAAACGGTTCATTTTGCTTCAAGCTTACCTCATGCTTTGAGACAGACTAGTATATAAAACTCAACAGCGTTACACCTACTTTGGGGTCTAAAAAAGTGGAATGGCTCGACTTTACTCGCCTTTTCCCACTATCGAAGTAAGCTTACAACGCTCAGCGTTAGTCGTCACTTCTTCAGTGCCCTTGGAACTCCACGATACTCAACATTATAAATAACCATATCAGTGCAACAAGTGCAATGTATAATGACGTGGGTATTCGTTGTGTCTTCTGCCTTACATGTTCTGTATAAGGATTTGGACTAATAAATGTTAATTAAAACTACTTTTCAAATCAACTGTGACTATTCTGAACTGCTTATCACTTAAACGGAGTAGAATCTGTCTAAGTCTATTGCATCAGGACCCAGTAAATTAATTTAGTTATGATATATTTAATTTCCTTTTGACAAGGATATCAATTGCTGCTAGGATAATAGCTAGACACTGCTTATAAGTTGTAATAAAAAATTATAAATATCGATTGAAACTACATTTCTAGTGTCTGGTACACTGGGAAGATTCCAATTCAAAAGTTTAATCTATCAGTTTATATTCTGTTCCATTCAAATTTAATACTTTATATTGTTTTTAATCAATACAAATTAATATATGTGCTTTAAAACCGTTCTTTTTTAACTTCATCTGGTCTAACATAATGTATGAGTATAAAAAACCTGAAGGTCCATCCAAAAACAATTTTATAAAAAATAAAACTGATTAAAATATATAAGTTGAATCAGTTTTACTGTTGATAAAATAATAATTATTATTCATAACATCTTCATATTCTATCTGAGATTGTTGAAACAGTAATAGAGCAAAACATTTCATTTTTTATCTCAAATATTTCAAAAACCTTATAAGTGACATTTACAGTATGACACTTCGTATAAGTTGAAATGGGAAAATTATTATATCATTGGCGAAATCTATAAGGAAACGCCACGAACTAAAGAAGAAGAAGAACATTAATATAAATTTGGAACTTTATAAAAACATATTTAAAGAAAAGCCTTTATTCTATGCGAAAAATTCCTTCGAGTTATGTATCTCCACACAGTAACCGAGATTATAATTCGTACCACATCAATTCCTGACCGATTAAAGACTTTGACAATGGCAAAATATTCCACAATTTAAGTTCGAATGAAAACATAGCATTAAAAGAATAATCGAGACATTCACAAACATTTTACCTTAAAAAATTAATAAAATAAAACTGTATTGTTACAATAAATTAATTCAATGTTACATATATTTTCATTGAATCAACAACTTATCACCTGGTAAAATTTTCATCACATAAGTAGACTTTTCCCATTAATAAATTACTGCTTTCGTCGATTCAGAGTTTCTTATAAAAAAATAAATCCTAATATTATACTTAAAACCATCGGTCTTATTAGTCGAAATGCTGACAAAAAGTGGTGACCGAACATACATTGAAGTAATAGTAAGAATAACGTTTTCTTTTGCTTTCATCACGTCTAAAATGTAAGTCTTATGGGACAATAATAGCGCCATTAGTATTTGAAAGCATAATGGAAAAATTTTGCATTCGGAGTTGATTGTTCCTTATTTTAAAATATTCCTACAAAGTTAATTCTTGGTATTTTTAATAAAATCAATAACAATACTATGTTTAAAAACAGATTCATTTTAGAAACTAAAAATATATACAGTATGTCCTGTGTCGTTTATAGTAGACTATTTGTTAGGTGAACATCACAGCAGTAAAGTTTAGATTACTAAATACCTGAAGACAAATTTCTGTGATAAAATCTAATGTCTTCTTACTACATAGTTATGTGCTTACATTGCAACATTCCACTTTAAAAGTGAGTTTGTTTCGTAAAAGTATCTATAACAATTTATAGCTGATGTTTCGTATAATCATTAAATGGGTCATTGAATACGATCTAAAACTTTACAAAACAGATCGGAAAATAGAAACTCTCTAAGACCTTTTTCTTTTGGGTAATTTAACTTCATCGACATAGGCCCACATGGTAAATTGTAATGTAAGCTGTTTATTATAATGTAAAATCGTCAAAGTTTAAAGCCACAATGTGTTCATAGAGTAATTATATTTATAGGCCATTGCTACGGATCTACTTTATAAAATGGTTTGTACAAAATAGGAATGTCATTGCTATATATAATAATATCATCTTTATTTTATACTAGCAACCTGGCCCGGCTTCGCACGGGTGCAATGCTGATGCTAAATATGTACATTACAGAAAAACTGTGAACGTTGTAATGGATGTTATTATACATATAGCGTCTTCGCACGGGCACTAAACATGACATTTACACAAATATTCAATATTTTTGCGTGAAATAAAAAAAAAATAGGAAATTTAATTCTTATTAATTACCTCCGTGCCCCAGTCACCCCTACAACTCTACAACGCATAGTTAGCCGCCGAGAGGATATTTTCAAAAGTTTTAACTCGTGATATCTTTTGAATGGAATGTCAAAATCTGATAATTCAAAAAGTTATATAAAGGTTTTAAGACGATCTTAAATAATAAATAATTTATTTTGATAAGGATACTAAGGGTACAAATAAAGAGCCTTTTCAAGCAGTGGTATTTTAATTATTTTTTATATAAAAAAATTGCTTATTGTGACAAAACTATAATAATTAGAGATATGATGTAGCGACGTTCTTTGTAGATAATGATAAGTTTTACAAAATTGTAGTACATCATATTGTTATATCTTCAATCGTTTTCGGAGCGTTCGCGATTAAAGAAAGTTTTTTGGTATATTTTTGACATTATCGGAGTTTTGATAAGGAACCCTATTTTTTAAAACTAAATATAGCCAGTGTCATTTCGGGATAGTTTAGCTTTCAACAGTGAAAGAATTTTTCAAATCGGTACAATAATTTCGGAGCCTATTCGAGACTAACAAACAAAAAATCAAACCTTTCCTCTTCATAACATTAGTATAGATAAAAGTCATATTTAAATTTGTACTGACAACACAATGAAATGGACTACTTTTTTGTAAATGCTGTATATATTAGAACAGAAATTTATGATAAATATTTTATTTCGTTATTATTGAAATTCAAGATAATGTTTATAAGTTATTGTTATTAATTGCAATTATTGTTTATACACATTGACAGTGGTGTCCTAGTGGTTAAAAGGCCCGGCTCTCATGCATGTGCACAAGGGCGCGGGTTCGATCCTGGCAAGTACCAATGTGATTTTTCCAAGTTACATGTACTTTCTAAGAGTATTTAGACATCACTGATTAATTAATTCCCAAAGAGGGTTGATGTCATTCATACGGCCGGTCGTAGAAATAATTAGCCAAAATTATTCACAATATGTAAGGCAGAGCCTGGCTAAAGCCGGAAAATTGCCAGGTAGAAGAAGACACATTGACAATCACAGATGTTTGAAATAATTAAAAAAATGTTTACCTACTGCAAGAATAGCAAACTCTCATAATACATTTTTATCTTTTTAAGTATTTTATTAATATTTTATAGTGTATATATTCAAATAAAACAAATCATTTACATTTAAATTTATCTATATAACCGATAAACATATTTGATATTCATTAGCACTAATCTTGGTAAAAAACTATTTAATATCCGGTCTAACAAGCGCAGCTATTAAAATTAACAAGGCGTGATTAGGTAAAATCTTCCAATTGAAAATCATTTAGCGTAGAAAAATAAAAACTATAGAAATTCATCCATGTAGAAATGCTTCCACATTATTATTTTTTCATATATATTTTTTATATCGGAGCTTATTTAATATTTCTAATATAATATATTCAGTTATGTGAAGTAATAGGATTTTATTGATCTATTGTTCTTATAGTTTAGGGTGGGTTAGGGTGGGTTATATAAAGTGTAAACCCTGGAAATAAAATCATAAAATCCTTATATATAGATAAACCTATATGCAAGAATACGATGACAGCAGTAATAGGCGCAGCTATCAATGAGGCAGCTAAAATCACCTGTGCAGTCGATGCCTCCCCACTGCCAAAGAACTTTCAATGGACACTTAATAACACTTTGGGAACTATTGAGTTAGATACGGTGAGCCCTTTTTTATTTCTGTATTAAATTAAAGTGTATGTTTAATAAATTTAACGTCTATAATTAAATATAACATTATCTTGTATTAAATTAGTGCAAGGTTTCATTATTATCTGATTTGATGAATTTGGAATTAGAAAGCAGGATATTTTTTATTAAGAAATCGTTCGCGGTAAGATTGACTTATCTTGTCTACTACAATTTTGTCTGATTGAACCTTATTATATGTATTTGGAAAATAAATCAGAATAATGTTAAACCATTTTTGTGACTGCTTTATGTTTCTGTATAACGGTAATACAATTTTTATATTAAGATATATGAAGTTCTGAAAGTAATAACTAGTTAACTTTTGATAAATAAATGATATCTAAGACTTTTGCGAGAATTAATTTATGTGAATATAACTTATATTTTCGTATGTTCTACATGTGAGTAACGTGCAAACAGTTTAGCCTGACGCTTAGTTTTGTCACAATACGAGTACATTAATTGTAATTAAAAAAGTATTACATACCTTAAAGAAACATTCCTAATAATTATAATTGTTAAATGAATTCTTTGAGTCTTTTTTATGAAATTAGCTAGGATAAATATTATACCAACCATTTACACTCAGAAAATAATAACAACTTACACATTATACAAACATCATCAGGGAAAGTTCACAATAGAAAAGTCGGGTCGTTCAATTCTCACGTACATACCAACTTCTGACATGGACTACGGGTCGTTGGCCTGTCGAGCTACAAACTTGGCGGGACAACAAATAGAACCTTGCAGATACACCCTGCTACCAGCCGTCAAGCCGGACCCGCCTACTAACTGTTCGACCTTGAACTTGACTGATGACTCAGCCGAAGTAAAATGTGTTGCTGGTAAGCCTCAGGTTCTTCTTGATATACTTCTCTGTTGTTTTTTTTAAAGGTAGTTACCGTTGCCCATGGATATCCGCAACGTGTTTGTTGCGGATGCGTTGCCAACCTTGTTTTTTTAGGAATAGGGAGGGGTGGGAATAAGGAAGTGGTAGAAAAGAGTGGAAATAGAGAAAGGGCAACCGGCTTTCTTGCTCACCGGACAAAACGCAGCCGTTAAAGGCTACTTTACGCCGATCTTCTGTGAGAGGATGGTACTTCCCCGGTCGAGCCTTGTTCAAGCGGTAGTAACTGACCACAGCTAGGCTCTACTACCTAAATTATTGAAACCTATAAATACATATAACCTGTAAATACCTATATATTAAATTTTTTTTTACAATCTTTATTGATTTGTTTATTTTTATTTGCTATATAGTCCACTTAAAATAGACTAAATTATGATTCCAGTTTGCATTTATTCCCCACAAACTGGATTTTTTTACAGGCCTTGAATATGTTATTTCAAATGATATGTGAAAAGCCCCCATCGCTCCTACTTCTGCGTTGCTTTTTATTCAAGGTCAAAAATCAAAAATTTGTGTTTTTGTGTTTATCTCTGAAACAAGAAGAGATATCGAAAAATGTTCCAGAAAAAGTTTGTAAATCGTAAAAATGTGTACAAAAAAATCTCAATATTTTTCTTCTTCAAACCATCGCTTTCGAGATATCATGATTTAAGACTGTAGGAGAGTCGTATTTTCGACTATATTTATATATATACCTATCCCACATTTATACATATCCGCTATAGCATTTTCAACCGCCCTTTCTTTTTATTTTGCTTTTTTTTTATACCAAGTTTTGCTGAGGACGTCATGCTGACTGTTTATGAAACCAATGAATATTGAACTTCCCAATTTCTCAGTTATAATGATTCTATTACAATCCTTTAACTTGAGTTTTGACTGAATAGTTATATTATAGATTGGTGGTTCTTTGCAAATGTCTTTCAATTTTAATATGAAAATTGACAATTATCATTATTTTCCATAAATGCAAAAATGTCTTCCATGGCCGAAATAATAGAATTACTTTCAGGACAACCGCTTTTACCTCCACTAACGGATTTCAGAAACGAAGTGTAACAAGCTCTGTGATACTTAGCCCCAGCAACATCTAATTCGTGTTCGTACTGAATGCGAGCAATGACACTTTGTGCTAGCTCATCAAAACGAGTCTGAGCTTCCTTCAAGATGGTTTTTTGAAGTCAAGGGTTGTAACTTCAGACACTTGTTTTACTTATTGAATCGTGCTCTAGTACGAGGAGGATTATTCCCAGATGTGGTAGCTATCTCAGCCTCACGCTGTCTTTTAGCTGTAGCGATGCTGCTTTTCCGGGTGTATACATCACGACACTGCTTATGTATCGTTACAGATCGCCACTTTCAGTACTTGAATCCATTAAAGTTTTTAGCCAACGATCAACAACCACAATTTCACTTTCAGTGAAAAATTCATTACAAATAAAGCAAAACTGCTCACATTTTTGCAAAATTTTGTTACGGCACTGTTTGAAATAGAACATAATTCACAAACAAGTCTATTCACTACGAAAAACGCTTCAAAACTAACTGCGTTTACTAGAGGTACTTCTTTCGTCAAAACAGGTATACGCTGGTTTCGACCCGAAAAATGGAGTGTCACAGGCAGATATTTCTAAAGGCCAACCACCCAATAGAATTAGGGACGGACGATGACTCACTCAGATTTATATATTTTTACGTACTTGTGTGTACTTAGCAAAATAATACTATGTTCTAATAATTTTTGAAAAATATTCAAATCAGTTTTGTAGACAATTTTAAGATCTACAAACTTTGTTTGAACCATTCTTCGATAACTCTCTATGTTTTAGACATAAAGGCAAAAAAAAGTAAATTTGTAATCTTTGACCTCGAATAAAAAACAACGCACAAGCGGTACGGATGGAGTCTCTTGATATATCATATTAACTAACATATTCAAGGCTTGCACAAAAATCCAGCTACAAAAATAAATAAATGTTGAAAGTTGAAACTGTGTTTTTAACACGTTTTTATATCTAGGATTGAATGTTTGTATGTAATGGAATCTTTTAGCTTTATTTTCACCGGTTTCTTTTTTCTTTGTAATTTGAAATTATTTTATATTTTTAGTTAGGTTAGCTATAAAAGGATATTTTTTTAAACTATTATTTATTTTAATCTTAGAAAACCTTGTGATAAAAATAGAAATAGGATAATTTATAGTTAATTACTATTTCTTTTCCAAGGCTATGATGGAGGTCTCCAGACTACGTATTTTGTGGAAGCATGGGAAGCGGATGAATTAATAGCAAATGTGTCAACAATACTTCCCGTTTGGAAGTTACAAGGGCTTGGATCTGGGAAGGCATTACAACTTGTATTTTACGCGAACAACGCAAGGGGGAGATCTGAAATAACTGTGCTTAGAATACACACGTTGTCAAGATTAGCATTACATACGGGTAACTTTTTGAAGACAGAAACTAATTTTTATCATTTCATGTTTGTAACAGTTTCAACTACTGTCCCAGTTATATTAAAAATATTCAATTTCATAACACAGAAGCGAAGAATAATTATATGATAATTGACACGAACTGGGCCCTGGGTATTGTAGCGGGTGCATTGGGTACGCTTGCTGCTGTAGCTGTTATAACAGTCTTGGCTCGCAGGCGACAGAGGCCCTTGGAGTATGATGGTAAATCATAAAAAAACTCATTTTTTTTATAATAAATGTATATATTTGCATTTGTGATAGGTGATTAAAATACGCTTAAGACTTTTTAAAATTTCTATTTCATTTGTAAACATAGGAACAATTTCATTATTATTATTCTAAAACCTCTCTTTTCCATTGATATACAACTTTAATTTTCATTTGACCAATGTGCAATGTTTTAGATTTGTAAAAATCATTATTAGATCTATTTTAAAACGGAATTATGTCATTGTGAAGCTTTTGTGGTTTCATTTTGGTAACATACATTATCGCATCACGTGCAGAATATCTACAGGATAAATTGTAAAAGGTTAAAGTTTGAATTTTTACAACACCATTATCACTCACATTGACAATACTTTTTAAATTTGATTTATAGTCCATTATGATTCGATATTTTAATGTGGTTGTTTTGTTACAATTTTATGAAGCAATGTAGGAATTTCTGAGACTAAAGTAATGTCGAAAAATACATTTTTAATAAGATGTTTTTTGAAATGCGTATTAGCCACGCACAGACTGGTAATAAAAAGAAATTGGTTGACTGATAGGGATTACCTTGGGAAATATTGATGTTATAATAAAAACACGATTCAGAAATTACACTGAATATATCACGTCTAAAGTCTTAAATCTTTGTATAAAAGGTAAGAACTGTAGAAAATTTTTAAACAGAAATTTAGCATAACAGTAATGACGGTTTTAATACCTTTTATATCTAAACAGTTTCCTTTGGCTGATACTGCTAACATATGATTTGTTATATAAGTCTAACGTTCAAATACCTATTAAACCGTGGCTGCTTGGAAAAAATGTTTCTGTTAATTTTTTTTCTTTGGTTCACAATCAATTTTAATTAATAAAGAAAACAAAGAAAAAATAATTTTCAATAACAAAAGCAAAACTCTTCAGAACCCTGTAAACTACAAAGTAAATTGAAATTGTTTGCTTACTTAAGTGAGGGATAAAGAAGATAACTTGTGTGTCGAATTTTCAAACGCTTTTCTAAGTTAGAAACTTCCTTTACTGCATTTCAAAGGTGATTTATGTCATTCTATATTTCAACAGATATTGCAGCTGTTTCGTCATTCAGTTCCCGACATTTTTATTAAGTTTTCTCTTCACTAGGACCGCATAACGAAACATCGTGTAATGATTTGCAATATTCAGAATGCAATATTAAATTCCATGATTTGTTTTAAATTTTAAGAAGTTCTCACAAATTATTTACACCATTTTTTTAATTGAAAATCTTCATATTGCCGGTTTCTACACCTTTGTATATTATGTTAACATTATTTGTATACTTTATTATTATAGGTGTGTTTTAGCATTTGAGACTACAGTCTTATTATAATAAGACACGTAATATCGACAACATTGTTTTGTTTTAGAATTATTGATATTAGCAATTATAAAATTGTTCATAAGAACATTATATAAAAATCCTTAGTGAACCTGCAAATGTATAAATAATATTAACTTTTGTGTAACATATTGGATAGCATACATCAAAAACACGCCATGAGCTTAAGGTATAAAATTTTTACAATTATCCTCAGTAGGAACGGACGACAGATAGTGACAACAATGTTTTATATGAAAAGCTCTTAAGAATATCAAGAGTTACACGATATTGCTTTGAAAGTAAATTCTTTCGAATTTCAAACGAAGAAATTTGAAGTAACTTTCAAGCTAGTGTCTGAATGAAATGTCAAGAATGTATAAATCGTACTTATAAGAACATTTGTAGAGTTTTTATTTTTTGACTTTTTTTCTTGCATAAAAGAATTTTATTAATAATATTTTTACAAGAGTCTTATTTGAAAAATTTTTTAGTTCCATTACAAAATATGAAAGCGTGTAAGGATGCAATACATAGCTCCAACCATTCACCTATACAAGACGACAAGAACCCAGACGTTGTACCTCTTGGAAAAGGTGTGTTTGTGTATTTTGTACAAGGCTACTATACGCATTGTTTGTTTATTAATTAGAACGATGCCTACAATTTTAATTTTGATCATTTTCCTTCTGAACTAAATATAAGATAAATTTATTATAAAAAATCGAGTAGGTTGTAGTAACCGAATAGTAGTGGTAGTAAATAGTATATTAAAGCTTGTCTTTGTCTGTTCAGACTTCACTAGTACAAGAGATTCTGAGCTCCCTCCGGAACCGCCGCCTTACGGGATAGCCCTATCGAGTATTCAACCGGTGGGTGCGTCCAAAAGCGCGCACATACTCCACGATCGAACGAACACACCGCACTCTCTTAATGCATCTGGGTCTGAAGGACAGGTTAGTTAAATACATAACATATTGTAATTTATAATTAAATTACTATATTTCTTTCAATACGATATTTGACTTAAATATTATAATCTCAATAAAGTTATAATAAGATACATTTTATTTTATTTTATAATCCACAAAATAAATTAAAATATTAATAAAAAAATACATTGAAATTAGTTTCTACTTATAGAGTGAATATTAGTTTAATTTCTTCATGTTATAGAGTATCAGTACACTGAATGAGGATCGGAGGAGTTTCACGAGTGGAACAATAGCACGGCGGAGAGAGATCGTTACGACTAGGAGCACACTTTTAACCAACGCCAAAGAGAGTTGTGTGTAAGATAATATAAACTCTATTTCATATTGAAGGAAACATTAACATTTCTATGTGTATTATTTTTGTACAGTTCAGTGTTAGTGAAACTGTCGTTAACAATATGTAAGCTTATATTTTAGCAGTAAACGTTCAAACGACTATTTTATATGGTTCGATCCTTTACTAATTTCAGATACAAAAAAAAGTGATATTTGAAATGTTGCTACACTTATTATATAAGGTATCTTTTTTCTACAAAAATAAATATGATAAGTAAAGCTATTAATATATTCAGTAATTCAACCTTTAAGAAAAGAGGTCGGACTCTCCTTTAATATACATTTATAATGATCTGAGCTTGTCACTTTCGTGCTTTCTTCTTGACGTGTTAATTAACTGAAAATGGCCTTAAGAATTTAATGGACTGAAACCTTTTACATTATAATATATTGTCAGATGGTAGAATGTTTTTCTTTTTTAAATCGTAGAGTTTCTTATAATGTCATTAATTAAGTCCAAAATCAAAATAAATAAATTTGGACGTAATAAAACATAAACCGAAGTTATATCAAGATCAATGAGAAAAGTTGTTATTTACGATTTACGAGTTTAGGTAAAAGTAAGATTATAAAAGATATAAAAAACTTGAATTTTGAAAGTTATCATCAAAATTTTACTCGAACTTTTTTAATCTATTTAGACGGTTAGTTGGAAATTGTAAAGCGTTTGTAACTATTTCAGCAAAGGTTGGGCGGCATGCGCTAGTTTGGATTCAAATAACGAAAAATGTAATTTAATACCTGCATACAAACCAAACTAGGATTAATGTATATGAAATATATCGATTAAAATTGAGTAAATACCTAAGGCCTAATACCGATTCCATAGCGATATTCTTTTTGAAAGGTAAATAATTGTACAGTATTCATTTATTTACAATCAATAACATACCTATTTTATTAGGTTTATGCAGTTGTATTTGAAGTTGGCTCTGATTTTATTTGTTATCGTTATAACCCATTCGATATTGCAAAAAGGCATTTCATTTTAATCGTTCAATAAATAAAAGCCATTCAATCGATTTAAAAATTCCAATAAACCCTTAAATTTATGCAATAGAAAAAATGGGGCTCTAGTTCTAAAAACTTTATTTTCAAATGTCAAGAACACTTGCATCGTTGCTGTTACAACGGGCTTGAAGCGAAGGACGTGAATAAAACATATCGTCGTAGTTACACGACGGTTTTAAACTCACTTGTTTCTCCCTGCATGCTTCATTTGTTTTTGCTCAAATAATGTAGATATATCGATTATTCCTGAACTAATAACATTTATGATAATTATATCATCAGCATATCATAAATAACAATACATATGTATGTTATTAGTTGATTGTAAGAATAACGTGTATGACATGTTTTTCTCTCAGATATTCGTTTTAATTTGATCCAGCTACCTACCTACTTTATGTGTTAAATTCTATGTAAAACTGTAAATAAACCATAATTTGTAAGAATAAAAAATAATAATCAAAAAAGGTTCTTCATCATATCAGATCTATGATGACTGCAAAAATTAAATCTAAGAGCAAGATTTCAATATTTTGTAATATTGAAAATTAAGTGTATACTTTATATTTTACGCCATTGATGCCATCTCATATATGTATTTTGTATGTAATAAAGAAGATAGTTATTAAAACATCTCTTTAAGACTGTTGTTAATTAATAGCGTTTCCTTCAATATAGATATTTTAAACATGTACCTAATTTTGTAAAACTAGTAAATCATAGATAATTATACTCAATTCTAAAAATATTGACAGGCTATTAAGGATGTACTAATTTGTATGAAAAATATGATGGGGAAAACATGACTAATACAAAAAAAAACTAAATAAAGTAGTTATAATTTTTATTTCCTACTACCGAAGTCGTGATTCGGAAAGGAAACGGACAATAAAGCTATATTAAAACAAATTATTTCCGTTATATTTTTTTATATATAAAATATACTTTCTGTTGTTTAAAAAACTAAAATAAATTATTTTAGAGAAAAAAAAACTTAATAATTAAGTAATTGAATTTATTGCACTAATGTGTAATTTTGTAATATCTATGTATTATTGTATTTAACATGAATTCACTGTGATGCTATAAGTTATTATATGTATTGTCTTAGATAAATGTAAATAACAAAACTAATATGTTCTACCGTAATATCTCATGTGACTTGAGAAATATTACAGTTTTTAAAAATATATGTAGGTAAATATTACAATCTATATGTGAACAATTCTATTGACAAAAAAATAAATGTTACCCTTATTATAATCTTTTATTTATTTTGCAATTAGCAATTTTTCTTTGTATAATTTTAATGTATATACTTACTGTACTATCTATTTCACCGACAGTTTGTTCTGTAAAAATACATTACGTTCGGGCATTTTCTAAAGACTTCTTGACACATCGTAATATGAAGCAGATATGTGTAAAGATTTTTAAGTAATAAATTTGCTTATTAGAAATTCTTTTATTTTATTTTTAATGCCATTTTTTCTGATTTTATAACATTCTTTTACATTCGAAAGCAACTAAAAAACTACAGATTTGGAAGACGATTTACGCGAAAAACCAAAAAAAATAAAATTAAATGAATGACATTTGTAACAATGAATTTCAACTTGATGATGAAAGTAGGAAATAAGAATTTTCTCAGAAAATGAGATCACTTTAACGCCGATTTCTTGAAAACATAATATTCATCATCATCTTTATTTTCCAGTTACCAAATATTTTTAAGAAGTGTTATTAAATAACTCCTTTGAAAAGTTTGGTCCTTATTAAACATTATTTAGAAAAGTTAGATTAGTTTTCAATCAGTCAATTATATTTCAACAATCTCAATAGAATTTTCGTCAAATTTACAATATTTAAAATGAAAACTCAAAAACTTCTTTATTAAAAACCTAATATTTTTATCATTTTAGTTAGTTAAATTGTAAAAAATATTTTAACTCACATACTTTTCCCTATGCACTTATATAATATAAAACAAATAATTTAATATCAATATACCCTCGTATGGAATTGAAAAAAATAATTATGTGGTATAAAAAGGTAGACTTAAACGCGCAGTACCGATGGCGATAAGAATTTTATCTTCGCCTTTTCGAGACTTAAAAGGTGGGGTCTTAATGGACATCATAGACTGTGATGAGTTTCTTGTTTATGTCTTTGTTTATAAGGTCTCTGAATAGAATAATCTCGAGAACAAAGGAGAATAGAGATGCCTCCAGCGTTTTTTAGTTCGTAAAGCTGTGACGATAACCCCGAAATCTCATATTTATAGTCTCAGGAAAATATATTATCCATTGACAAACACAGCAACTTGTTTACGAAGCCTGGTTCATACATAATAACAAATTGATACTTTTCTAAGTTTAAATTTTAATAAATTTATAAAAAAACAAAATTGTAGTTCAATAAAGAATTAAATAACACTGTATTTATTAATTCATTGCTTTTGATAGACTTTTCAACGTTCATTCCAAACATTCCCGAAGCGATGGTTTCGGTGTGGTAGAATATCATACCAAAAAAGGGTCCAATAGAATAATTGAAATACAAATAATTTTTATATTAAAGACAACCTTATATGACGTATTTTATATTTTGCAAATTGCTTCAATACATCAGAAAGCCAAATCAAGTATTATAAAAAGTAATCATGGATAACTTGACTTTATCATGAAAAACTCATATTATTAATATATCATACATATAAAATAAACTATAACTGAAATGGTTATAAAATTTTAAATTCTAATGACAAGTTTCACTTCTACATACATATTTCTAGTAATTGATTAATCTCATTCATTCATCCATTTGACGACATTAGTTTGCTCAACTCTTGAGGGAGGAGAAAATTGATGACAGTCAGGAATCGAGTGTTCTAATTAGTGATTGTTATCGGTGTATATAAAACAATAATAATAATTTTTAGAAAGATCTCTATGAATTATATTGCAACATCTTTCTATAATAAATACAATGAGTTCTCAAAGCTTTTTCAATTGTTTGTTATAGACAAAAGGATTGTCTCTGTTTTCCCTGTTTGAGCCATTGTGTAATTTTATCGACAGCTGTGACCAGAAATAGTATTCATACAATTTTAGATTTGTTTCTGATTTAACACCACTCGTCATACCATATTACAAAGTATGACCAAAAGTAGCATTTTCAAAAATATAATGTAATTAAATAAAGGAAATAAGAGTCATGACATTGTGTGTAGCTAAAAAATTAACAGTAATTTACTTATGTTGATTAAGTTTTTTCTTGTTTAATAGAAGCGTAAAATCTAGCAGATTTCATAACTTAAGTATACTTTTGTTTTAAAATATTTCCAGAGACATAGCAAGTTTTTTCGGTACCTATACCTCATCTTACTAAATTACTCTGATCTGGGAGAGTCTTCTGGAACGAATTGAGGTAAAATTGCAATGCAAAAATCTCCTATGTCTAACCACGTGTTCTGCATCTCTAAACTTATTGCATAAATCTTATATTTAACATTCTCGTCTTGCCGAAGAAAAGATTTCAATTTCAACATCTTTGTTACTTTTTGCTCCTATCATAAACTGCTTATTAAATTGAAGTCATAATTAGATCTGGGGCATCTTTGTCTTTTGGGAGCGATGTAACAACGTCATCATGGGATTTCCCCAGTATATATCTCTTGGAAACTCTTAGGTGATTACAGAGCTCCGATGACCCTTTTTAGACTTATCATAAAATTATTGCGATCCCTGAATAAAGGCGATGAATCAGCCGTTAGAGATAGGCCGAGCCTCAACTTTAACATCTTGAAGACGCCTGCATCTTATTTTGAAAAAAATTACGTCATTAAATTTTTTATCAAACTTGTAATATATTTATTAGTAAGAAGCCGTATTCAAAAGTTTTAATATATAAATTAATTGTAAATGGCATTCTAAGCTTTCTAAATGTATTAACATCCTAGAAAACCGATTTAAGAGACTCATACTGCAGATTACTTTGGAGCTGAAGTATTACTCAACCAAATGAATGTTGACGAAAGACAACTGTGAATATAGACAGCATAATTAAAACGGTTTGTAATCGTCCGTATATGGAAGATTTTAATTCACTCCCTCTTTAAAATTCGCGTCCATTCTTATATGCAATGGAAATAGTGAATTCATTCTACTTTAATAGAATGTGTTAATAGAGAAAGATGGGATTGTTAGTTTTCAATTTTATAATACTCTAGCATCGATTGACGTTTTTATTTATTTAACAGTTAAATAAGTTATTAGACGAATCGATGATACACCTTGTTTGAATAAAGCATGAAGTGCCAATTGATAATTTTGACATTCGGTATACGCTGCAATCAGTTATAGTTGCTGTGATTGGATGTTAGCTGTGAGCTGGTTGTTCAAACATCGTTTTATCTGTACACCCTCGGGGCTACCCTGTAATTGTGAAAATCGTTTTATATCTTTTTTGTTGTTAAAATTTTGGACAGACTACTTTTTAAAAGGTTAGATTTAAATTGGATTTTGTAACACAACCTACATCATTGCTTGCTTAATAAAACTTCTCTGTTGTAGTTATTATACCATATTCGAATCAGTGTTAAAACCAGTAACATATATATATATATATATATATATATATATATATATATATATATTTCTGCACTGGAATGAATTGAATGCTTTACATTTTTACTGCACAAGAAAAACTAGATGGCAAGTTGTTTTAGTTATAGGTTGTAAAATATTTATTCCTTGACTTTAAAAAAAATATAAATATATTAAATTTGTTTCATATAAAAGATTCAAATTATTGAGATCTAGCCACTAATCTTCATCTTCTACCTGGCAATTTCCTAGCTTTAGCCAGGGTCTGCCTTACACGTTATGAATAGTTTTGGCTAATTGTTTTTACGATCGGCCGCCTGCCTGACATCAACCCCCTTTGAGAATGCATAAATCAGTGATGTCTAAATACTCTTAGAAACAACATATGACTCGTAAAAATCACATTGGTACATGCCAGGCCCAGGATCGAACCCGCGCCCTCGTGCATGAGAGGCGGGTTTTAACCACTAGGCCACCACTGATTGATCTATCGACTAATATGTATACTAATTCAATAAACAATTAAGTAGCAATTGTTGATGAATAAATAAATGGATTCATGTCGCGAAGTCATACTTTTGAAAAGAAAATTAGGATGCTTTTTCGATATTAATTCAAAATAAGCTGAAAAAGTACATGTTTCTAATCAAAAAAAGTAAGTTTTACTACATTTCGTGACAAAATATTGATTATTTTTGTTTGTAAAAGATAAAAACTAAAGTGTCATATTTGAAATCGTTAATTTCAATGAATTCCGTAGAAAAAAATATTAATTTGAATTATATATTGAATTAAAAATAATCAAATACTTATATCAAGGTAATCTTTTCCACAGAAATATTGTATGAAACGCTAGTATTATCTTTAGTGTTTAGAAGTGTTTCACCACAATGATATATAACATATCTGCTGCATACCTAACCTAAAACTTAATTAAGGCATTATATAAATAAGGTGCCACCTGACAAACTAAGACAACAGCAAAACTAAAAAAACAGTGTTGCTTGATAAAGCGATACGGAACTTTGAAAAATAAAGGTTACAGTTATGATATTCCAGAAAAAATGGTTTTAATAGACTGAAAAGTATAATAGTAAGTAATTTAATACAAAAAAGGAAATGTTATTTGACTCAGCTATTTTAGTAATTATACAATTGAGGAAGAGTTTAAGCAGTGGCTCGAACGAGTGGAAGTATATGTATTCCTCGTACCGATTGGTAAAGACGATCACCAGACATGGGTGAAACAGTGTGAATCTGCACAAACTCTAGTATACAGATTCACCACAATGCTACTGTTGTGTTGGACTATGCTGCTCAGCGTATAGCGGGTCATAGCCTAGCGAGGTGCCCATCGTTGTCTAACAGGACGGCTATGTTAATAGCCGCCGTCAAACTGAATCTTTCACTAGAGGGTTTGTTACTGGATATGTTCTCGAGCAAGTGTGCCTAGCCGGCAACGGGGTTCTTCTGTAAAACTTTCAACACTTAAAAAGAAACGATGAAGCGTTTGACGAGAGAATGAAGAACAATTCACGCTAAGCGAAGATATGACGCTCTTGACACAATTAAAACCAGAAACTAATTGGTAACTGATGTAAGGTTATCTTCGTCGATATTGCACTAAGTCACTGTACCCTTAGGTGGGATAATTTCGCATAACGGACTAGTAATGCCAGATCTCTTTAACAATTTGGAAGTCATAAGTAATTTACCACTGTTTAGGCGGTCCCACTAGTGGCAGCACGTTTTAAACAGGATTCTTGCTAGATCCCTCGTCAACGCCTTTCCTCTTCCATAAGGAGGATCCAGGAAGTCCAATTTATCGCAGTGCCTTCAGGGCAGTGCAGGGCTATCATATTTTTCTCCGAAACAAAAAAAAAGTCATTGTGCTGGCACTGATTGCCTTAACTCTATTTATTAACTCATTATGTGAGTCTTCTAATTATTGGTAATTATCGTTTAAAAAATCATATATAATACATCATTAAATATATATTTATAACAACTATAACTCAAATATAATATACCGTAACTCAAATTAAGAAACTGAATAAATATTTTTTTTTATATAAATTTTATTTTCTTGATAATTAAACTTTAATTAACTAAATAAAGAATAGTTAAATGAAAAAAAATGATAATATATGTATATAATTTTAACCTAAATAAAAACAACTCAAGAATTAGACAACTTCCCATTTTTACGTGATTTATATATGTATTTACAATATGCAATTCCCAAAGAGGGTTGATATCAGGCAGGCGGCCGATCGTAAAAACTATTAGCCAAAACTATTCACATCATGTAAGGCAGACCCCGGGCTAAAGCTGGGAAATTGCCAGGTAGAAGAAGAAGTATGCATATAAATATATTTTAACAGGACTGGGTATTGGCAAGAAGGTTTCAAGCTCCATGAACCAGAGTTTCAATTGAGCTGTTGCACAATGTCTTTATAGTAGCAAAATAAAAAACATATTTATATTACTTGAAAAAGTGAGCTAAAATGATATATATAATAAACGTTATTACTGTAAATAAAAAACTGTAAAATTAAAAAAGACATAAGTGGGCAGGTCTGATATTACAGCTTGATTAATAACATTATAAATCAGATTAATTACATTATAAATCAGATGGAAATCCCGTCCTTAATGTGAGAATAAAAACGGCAATTTAGATTAAACGAAACGCTTTGCTGTTTCTATCATTAATATTACGTTTTTAACGCTCGATAAAAGAAACAATACGAGAACATTTATTTAATAACTACATATTATAAAACAAAGGTTTTTTTTTTCGATGGCGCAGGGAAACTCTTTTTACGACCCCCCAACCGGCCTCGGTGGTGCCGGAAGGGATTTGTGAGGCTCGGCCTGGGCAGGCCCCTACTCACTAAAACCACTGCGAAAGCCATCGGCCGCTATGCCGGAGTACCCCGGATCTGTCAGCGACAGGGCACACCAGCGACTGGCCGGTCCTGGTAAAGTCCGGACTTACTCCTTCGGAGTATGGGGGCGACCCCGGCAATTAGAACTGCCCCGACGACGCCGGGCTTTCACAGGAGTCGGGTTACCAAGCCGACCCCAACCCGGAGCGCAAGGGTGCTATTGGAGGCGTTGGAAGGGAGGGTGCATCAGCCGCACCCTTACTTTCCCGCTCAGATGCCTCCTTCGTGGACATGACCGTTTCACAGAAGGAGGACACCGCCAGCCAGGACCTATCACTCTCGAGCATCTTCTCCACGATACTCGGCAGCGACAAGTCCACCCCGCCGAGAAAACAAAGATTGCTATAGCTTTAAGATAATTGTAATAATCAATTAAAATATGTTTAATAAATACATTAAAAATCATTATTTTCAACAAGAACACGTTTTCATTTCATTACATAGTGTTATTGCTGTAATAAGTAACTCGGTAAATAACTCACTATCACAAAGTTTTAAAAGTGGTATTAACGTAACACTACTAACGCATAATTTGAGATTTCTGTATATTATATTTGACCCATACATTTTATAGTAATTATAATCTTAAATTTTTGCAGTAAACCAGATTACTTAAATGTACACTAACGTTTAACGTTTAAAGTAAAAAAATGTGGTTTCAAACCATCATAAGATTTTATATTTAATTTTTAATGAAAACTTTAAAAAAATCATATTAACTTTAAAATTTGAAGAAAGTGTGTTTTATATCTCTCTTTCTTAATCTATCACCAGATTCGGCGACTAAAACGATTGGTATTGGATTTTCACCGCACGGTAGAAGAGAAGGAGTCTTAATGTTCGTTGTTACGCTTCGTTAAGAATTATGGAATATTTCTTTACAAAGACCTATTTTTGCAACCTTACAAATGAGTGCTACCAAGTTTTATAAACTAATAAAAAAATAAAACGTCTTTTCCTTTGTTTTACCAAGATGGATAAAGGTCAGTAATAAATATAATTGTCAATACCATAATTTGAAAGTGATTGGAAGGATTCGTTATTTATTATATAATACCGGACATATACCTACAGTAATAACTATTGGTAATATCACCAATAGATTTATATCTTTCAAAATATTCCAAAACATCATATTATATCGTGGTATTATATTGTTCACAATTAAATTCAACGGTAATTGACGCGGACCAATTCTAATTTATCACCGTTCGATACAAAGTACACTGCAATGGTGTATTCCGTTTAGGACTTGTATGAAAATAAAATTCTCTTATTCAATGAATTATTTCCTTCTGCTGGTAAAAACACTGAAAACTCAATAAACATTATATTGCGTCATTATCAACAAACTACAACTGTGAATAACATACCATAAGTTAAAATACATACATACATATATCAGAACGTGATATGTTTACCTATAATTAAAATTGAGAAATATATTAATACATTCTTTTTCCTTTACAAGTGACACGCATATGTAAATTAACCTTTCATACTGTAAAGGAATGAACCAGAATGATTTAATTCTTGGTACGCTATGTAAGCTATGCAATTAAAATTAATTGTGAAAACGCTCTGTTGTCGTTCCTGCTGTTGCTGGTGGGAGACGTAATTGTTTGAAGAGAAGAATGTTAAAATACTTTTTTCAGGATATTGTAGGGTAGTTGTGCCAAATTATATTATACCCAAATTGATTGTTAATTAATTATTTAAGACAAATATTCTCGTATTGTTTAAAGCCGAGGCAAAAAACTACCAGACGTAGGGGAAAATAAAAAGTTTGTTAAATTCTAAGTTTTTATAACTTTCAAAACATCTGCAAAACAACTCTTCTTCTACCTGGCCATTTTCCCAGCTCTAACCAGGGTCTGAATTACATGTTTTGAATAGTTTTGGCTAATTGTTTTTACGACCGGCCTCTCTCTTTGAGAATGTATTAATCAATGATATCTAAATACTCTTAGAAAGTACATATGACAAGGAAAAAATGACATTGGTACTTGCCAGGGCCAGGATCGAACCCGCGCCCTTATGTATGAGAGGCGGGCCTTTTAACCACTAAGCCACCACTGACTATCTGCAAAAAAAATATCTGCAAAACAACTGAACAAGACAATTCTCACACGCCCTTAAATTTATGATTTCATAAACATTTTATTTGTATTTTCAAAAATATTTTATTGTTATTAAGATACTCTTATCTAATTAGACGGCTACAGTTTCATATTTGGAACCCTCATAAATATTGTTTATGAGCTCAGTAAAAAGCATGAGATAAATAAATAAATCCCATACTAGCTGACCCTTATGGGCCACTAACGCTGCCTCTCTATGTCAAAGTATATTTCTCTTTGTTTGTCACTATTACTATGGTCACACTGACAATACCCTGTAAACTAACAACTTTCTTAACCAATCAAGAAACATAAGAACATCCCTTCTAAAAGGAGTGACTTCGGCATTAAGAAACGAAATTAAACTTTGACAAAATTACAACCGATCTAGCTATAATCAGATCATATATACAAATGTACATACGCAAGGTCTCAGAGAACATCTTGCTTTCAAACTTTAGATTCAATTTCACCATTTTATGTATTAATTATGCATTCTTTAATTTTCGTTCTTTGTTATAAATAAAGCAAATTAAATTATTGTATTCGTTAATAGTTTAAATTAAAATAAACTAAATAAAACATCAACACAGTTAAATAACCCCCTAACAAATTGTCGTAAAATTCTCTTAAAGACACATATTCAAGAGAAGAAATTACCTTATGATATTATTAAATGTCTGAGGGTAGGGCATTACACAAGAATTCAAGTGTATGACGATCAATCAATACCCCATGGGTACCAAGATTGGACATGATCGTTAGTTTATGTCACATAACGACGAGGTTATTAGTTTAAAGGCCCTTGAGAAACTGATAGCCAGGACTTTAAAACGAATAAAGTGCAAATTTGATAAATTCACATATTTTTAAAGAAAGAAGTATAACGCTAATTTAGTTGAATGCAAACATCCATAAGTACAAATAAATCCAAGAAACGAAACTAGTTTTCAAGATCCATCCTTTTGTCTGACTTTTGTTGAAGCATTTATTCTATTTGACTTGGAATAGTAATAGAACCAAACATTACTAAGTAAATTTATTAATGCATAAAAATATTTCGGACATAGAGATAAGTAATTTTTAAGTATTTTAAAATAACACATATGTAATTTTATTCATATAATATGATATGTTTATTAGTATGTAATTTAGTTTCGAATGTTTTTAAATCAATATTTAATATTCTTATAAAAAGCATTTGACTTTGACATTTGACAACGTAAAAAACATTAGTGCTGCACGGTAATTAAAATTAAGTAAGTAAGATAAGATAATAATAAAATTGTGGTACTCAAACGGGGTTCGAAACCATTTTCAAGTGACTTTAGAAAAGGACTCCTCCTTTTTTTATGTTTGTAAACTTATAACGTTTTGGACCT